TAAACTTCAATTCTGTGTCCTTTTCCTTTTTCTATTTTCATGCTAATCTAATCTGGGATGTAGTGTAAAGCCACCATCCCTTGACAATGAGTAAATGAGCAACAAATAAGGATATTACAACAGGTCATATATTATAGTACCAAAGTATCCAAAAGGATTCTCAGCAACCATTTTTCTTTTTAAGGTTGGTCATTGAACACTCCCTTATTGCGTTTATGGTACCAAAGTCCATACTTTAAGGCTTAAGCAAATGCAATTTCAAAAGTAAAAGAGACAGTAAAACTAACTGTGAACTTACAGAGGATGTCAATGTATTCCAAGTTGGAGCAACAAATAAGGATATTACAACAGGTCATATATTATAGTACCAAAGTATCCAAAAGGATTCTCAGCAACCATTTTTCTTTTTAAGGTTGGTCATTGAACACTCCCTTATTGCGTTTATGGTACCAAAGTCCATACTTTAAGGCTTAAGCAAATGCAATTTCAAAAGTAAAAGACACAGTAAAACTAACTGTGAACTTACAGAGGATGTCCATGTATTCCAAGTTTTAAATATCAACAATACCTTAGTGCCTGTGCTCGAGAAGCAAGGAGAGGAACAATTTGCATTCTTGTTGAGCTCCTGGAGTACATTGGATGGCAACGCAGACCCCGCATCCTGAGTTTCTGCCTCAAATCATCAACTTTCCTTGCCTGCAGAAGCATACATTTTGAATTCAATCCAAAATAAATAAAATCGAATAATTTCTAAATTGCCAACACTCTAAATTTAGAAAGTTCATCTACCTTACTAGGATCCTTTATTAAGTACGAGATGCAATGAGCGTTGCTTGATTTCAAACCTTCCTGAATGTGGCTGGAAGCCGCGGAATTTAGATCACCATCAGGGGCATTCAACAGCTTCCAAATGGTTTTCTTTAAACCTTCACAACCCCAACGGTAGTCAATATGTGATGCATAATCTGGATCAGGGAAAAGTCTTCCATCTTCTTCTGTATAAGTACCAGGGTAGTAAACTTCACTTCCACTGCTACAAACCAACGCATCAAACTCATTTGCCTGTATCTTCCCCGATGCCAAAAACTCTACTGTTTCTGACATTGGCATAGCCGTTAATAGAGCAAACCCTATGACTCTAGCACTTTGAGAGTCTAATATGATAGCCTTAAATATTTCTTGGACTGCTGAAGGCCCAAGACTTCCCTATCTAAGTTGACCTCCCAAAAAGAGCATCAACAAAACTCATGACTTTTGGTAGCCACGGTCTCTTATTCCCCTTTGAAGTCACAGATCTTCATCTTCTTCAAAGTCACAAATTTCCATTTGGTTTCACTAAGCCACGGTCGATGGTTGATAATTTTTCGGAAGGTTCAATTGGGTTTGATTTGGTGGTGGTTGATTCAGGTGGCTGGGTTTGAATCGGTGGTGGTTGGTTTGTGTGACTGGGATTATGGTGGTGATAGTTCTAGGTGAAGAAGAAGAAACTGATTCTTAAAGCTTGGATATGGATTTGGTCTAGCAATTGGATTGGTCGGACTCGCGCGTCAAAATAGCACGCTCGCTATTTTGCGAACTGCATTTCAGCTTCTCTGTATAAGGAGAGCGAGTGAGGAGGATTTTTTACTATTGGACTCCACAATCCCTTTTAACTTAGTCCCCCATTTTACCAAACATTGGTTTCAAGGCTTATTTAGCATAGTCCAGTCTAGTGAGCCATACCAAACACACCCTAAAGGCTTGAGCCAATCCAACTAACACCCCATTGATAACTTGTAGCATACTCAAAATAAGATAATATGCGAGGCACGTAAAGCCACAGAGATTACATTAAAAAAAAAAAGAAGATATTATTTCTATATGACAATATTCAAAGCTACATGGTAAACAAATGTGAGTGAGAGACTAGAATATGAGTGAATCCAAGCCTAACAGATTTAACAAACTGCAATTTGCAATTTTCAATTATGAAGGAAAGTGCATGACAAGTATCAAGTCAGTTTGTTTTAACCTTTTTGTTTGTTTGGTTGTTTATTTATTTATTTATTATTTCTAGATTGTTTAAAACTAGTGCTCAGAACACTTTGCGTAGGTCCTCAACCACCTACTCTTTGTCTTTAAGTAATTAACAATTCTTAATTAATCCATTAGAATTCTGACACAGAAAAGGATTAAACAATGACTGCATTACTTACCATGCACCGTCCTGCCTAATTCAAATTGTTAAATGCAAATTGCAATATATAAGTCATGTATGTGTGAATGGGATTAATATTTCCTCAGTCATTATTATATATAAGTCAACATTACAGTCGATCATCGCCTTCAGGCTACTAGCTTGAGAAACTCAGATACTCAGATACTGTGCCTGTGCGTCTTCTTCGAGTGTTTACTTGTTGCGTACGTGCTGAAGGAAAGATGGCAGTAGAATCACTGCTTACTTTTGCTGCTGAGGGAATACTGAAGAAGGTAGCTTTGCTTGCCGCTCAAGAATTCATGCTGGCATGGGGATTTAAACGAGAGCTAAAAAAGCTTGGTCAATCGCTATCTGTCCTTCAAGATTTCTTAGGTGGTGCGGCTGAGCAAGCACGAGATCTGGGCAAGGCAGTGGAAGATTGGGTGGAGAAACTTAAAGACATAGCTCATGATGCTGATAACGTCTTGGATGAAATCAACTATGAAATTCTCCGGAGTCAAGTGGAACTGCAAAACCATATGAAGAAAAAGGTACTCAATTTCCTTTCTTCCTCAAATGCCACTTTGTTTCGCCAAAAAATGGCCCATAAAATTAAAAAAATCAATGCATCTCTGGCGGAGCTCAAGAGCGAGGCATCGTTCATTGGATTGGTTGCAAAGAAAATTGATCCGGTTGCCCAAGGCATGGGGAGCAGGGAAACCGTCTCAAGCTTTGATGGCGATGAAAGTATCTTTGGAAGGGAGGAGGTTGTGTCAGATATAGTAAAGACCTTGATCAGCTCCAACCATCAACAAAAGCTTTCGGTTGCGGCAATTGTGGGAATGGCAGGCTTAGGAAAGACAACTTTGGCTAAGTCAGTGTACAACGACGATGCTATAGACAAGTCATTTGACAAAAGAATATGGGTTTGTGTCTCTAACACCTTTGAAGTGAATTTGATTTTAAGCCGGGTCTTAGAACTACTTAATTCATGGAAGACCGGAATTCAAAGTCAGGAGGCATTGCTTAAAAATCTCGAAGAAGAGTTGACAGGAAAGCGATATATTCTTATACTCGATGACGTTTGGAATGAAGATAATATAAAATGGAACATCTTGATGAGTTGCTTGTCGAAACTCAATTCTGCTCAGGGAAGCACCATAATTGTCACTACCCGCAGTGGCAACGTTGCATCAATCATAGAAACACTTCCTAGATATGATTTGAAAAATCTATCAACAGAGGACTGTTGGTCCATCTTGAAGCATAGAGCTTTTCCGAATGGTAGAGAGAATTGGAAAAGTGATTGCTGAAAAATGTGCTGGCATACCACTAGTGGCAAAGGTATGCATTTCAATATGATAGTAACGCTTGTTTTCTTTGCATTTTTTTTACCGCGGATAGAGGAAAAGCTTTTGGGGTTCTTATTTTTAACTAGTTTTGAATTAATTAATGTTATTATTATTTTTTTAAATTTAGTTTTTCCTCACATGGATGCCAGGTTGGCGTCACATAGACGCAGACAAAAATATTTTACATTTTCACTTTGCCCCTTAATATTTACATTCACTTTTCACCTCACCCAATTCCATTAATAGCATGTGTACTAATCCGGAATTGAATTAGGGGGAATTGAATTGAGGATGAATTGAATTGATGAGGAGTTGGATTGAGGAGAATTAGATTCCGGATTCCTAATGAAGTTGTTTACTAAACCATATGGATTGACGGGAGTTAGATTCCGAATTCCTATTGAAGTTGTTTACTAAACCATATGGAATTGAGGTAGAAGTGGTACTAATTACTAAAATGTCCACATTTTTTGGTTAAAGTAGATGGCATATTTGGAATTTTGAAAATTGTGTGAGGATATAATGGGTAAAAAAAATGAATTCCTAATGGGTGAATTCTCCCGGAATTAGAATACCACCTCCAATTCCGGAATTGAATTTCTCCAAAATCAGGAATTCAATTCCTAATTTTGTGTGGGCCCCGCTTACTTTTCAATTCCTTGATGTGAAGTAAATGAAGGAATTCTCCATAGGCGGAATTCAATT